ACTCTGTTGCCTAACACAATGCTGAATGTTTCTTCTGATCTGTGCTTATTTATAGTTACAGTGATAATTCTGTCAGCTAATTCAATATTTAATTGTATTTAAATAATACACTTAGTTTCTATTTGCCTTTTGACAGTCACACTGCCAAAGACAGCCTGATCTTTGAACGCTACAATATTTGATATTATGATGATATTTATAATGTTTCTGTTACAATTTTAGTATGGTTTAAGTGCAGCTTTTGTCACACCTATAGCTTTGAAGTTGCTATGACACCTGGATGACACCATCACCCATTCTAGAATTGGAAACATAAGTGTGACTACTTACGGTAATATCTGGAAATTGAAAAATAAAATTAACCAGTTTTGATCACTTTTTCCACATTACACATCTTGGATATTAAACCAGACTTTAAATATTCTTTAGTTTAACAATATTAAGGCAGTGTCAGTAACACTAGGACAATAAAGGTTTGGGTCCGAACTGTGGGGATGGGCCAGAATTAAATTATTTGTATCAGCTGAGTTCTGGCCTTTCCAGTTCAGGGATGGTGGTGGTGATCTTGTGTTCTGAATAAACATATAAAGCAGTTTCCCAAATGTAAATTTATACCCAGTGCCAACCATTTGCAGCTGTGATTCACAACCACTGTGGGGTGCACCCCACACTTTGAGTAATGCTGATCTATATGCTGGGGACAGACATTACATGTAAACCGGTTTAAGTGATCAGAAACTGGTTTAAACCAATAACAGAACAGACATTCAGTGCACATAAACCAGTTTCAAAATGGCCGAAACTTGTTCGAGATAAACTTGGTTGAATGTTGTATCAGACTTAACTGATTTGGCTCAAACTGGTTTATACAATGTCTGTCCCAGACTCCTTACTGGTTTAAATTAAACCAGAGTTCCCCAGCATCCTGGCATGCTCCCTGGGCTGGGCTCTCTGCTCCAGCACAGCAGGGCTGGCCCTGCCCCTTTACTCCCCAGCCAGAGCAGGGACAGGCAGCGGCAGGGGTCTGGCCAAAAAGGAGTTTAATTGCCCTTTTCCTGTCCTACAAGCAGGGACCGGAGCCGGGTCTGCTGCATGCTCCCCCCTTGTTGCTGCAGCAGTGGGCCAGCGTGGCCCCTTGGGCAGAGGGGTCACACTTTAGAGGGGGGTTATTCTCCCCCTCTACCTTTACTGCCCCTGGGGGTCTGCAGCTGGGTCTGCCTGCCCTGACCACCGTCGCTGCCAAGCAATGGAATAAGCCCCCTCCTCTCCCCTCTGCCAGATGCTAGAGGGAGGGGGAATAACCCTGTCCCCGCACCCGCCAAGTGGCCCTGCCAGCTGGGGAGCTGGCTGGTGGGGGCTGACTGGGGAGCAGGCTTCTCCGGCCAGCTCAGAGGTGACAGCAGACCCTGAACCCGGCAGCCACCACTGCTGCGCACCACCCCCAATGCCATGTTCAACACCTGGGGCTGTAGCTGCATGGCTGGCCAGGGTTGGGGGCTGTTCTGTCCCCAGCTGCTGCTGCCATGGCCACACCCGCGCCACTCTGGGTGGGAGGGGTGGGAAGCTTCTGCCCCATGTGTGGAGCTCCGGTTTCAGCTCCTGGATGCCTTGGACGGTGGAAGGTGCCTGGGTGGAAGGCTTCAGTCTGGGGGCTGCAGCCAGAGTTCCACGCGCTGGGCTGAAGTTCCCCCCCACTGCCTCCCAGAACGGCTCAGGAGAAGCAGGAATGGAGAGGGAGTAACCACTACGGGTGAGGGGAAGCTGGCTTGCCCTGGCAAGGCTGTTATTATTATCGTTAATAATCGGCTATCGGTATCAGCCCAAAAAATCTTTTATCGGTGCACCCTTAGTTCCATGGTTATAATGCAGTTAAAGGGTTGATGAAATAATATAGGGTTCAATAGTGTTTTAGATGGAGCAAAGTAAAAATGTGCTGTTATTTCCTCTTGGTTGAAGAGTAGCTTCACAAGCTACAGAATATCAGCTGCTTCCCATTTAATAGGGGTTAGCTTATGAGGAATAGGCTAGCCGAAGGTCTTTGTGAATGAGATGCAGACTGAACACATACAATATAGTACAGTTCAAGAGTTCATTGCTGGGTCAACTAACGCTTAATGAATATAACAAGACTAATTATTGCCTTTGACTGCTCTGACAATCAGGTATCAAGTACTTTTTAGTATAGCTGTTTCAACCCTGTCACATCTGTTTTTTTATATAATATTAGTGTAGCTTCAGTCAGTGGACTATAGTATATGCTAGTAATACATTTTGTCAAAATAATTTTCTGTCTGTTGGCTAGAGCTTCAAATATAGGAGGTAAATCCTTGGTCTGTTAATTAATACAGTAGTTACTTCATTAAAGAGGGTTGTTTTATGAAGATATGTCATTGGTTTCCTTAGTGGCGGTGTTGCAAATCTAGCCCAGTTGGGTTCATAATGGTCTAGATCATTTTTAACTCAAGGAACTCCTTGATACACTAAAGACAGCCTTGGAAAATGTCAGCTCTTAGTTTTCACTCATTTCTTGACTACAGAAAAATAGGGTAGTTCTGTTGCAAAGAACTCAGAACAACACAGGTCAGAGCATGAACAACTGGTGCCTCCCGAGTTGGGGGGGCAAAATTTGCGGGCATCAGTGGAGTGATGACCACTTGCAAAAGCTGGTGGCGGGGGAGTGCGGTGTGGCAATCAGCGACCGCCCGCAGAAACTGGCAGTGGCGGTGAGCAGCGATCGGCAACCACCCGCAGAAGTCGGCGGTGAGCAGCGATCGGCAACCGCCCACAGAAGTCGGCGGTGAGCAGCGATCGGCAACCGCCCACAGAAGCTGGCGGCGGCCAATCTCCAGGAGTGCATGTGCTCCCCTGTACCCTCCTTACACATCGCCTGTGGGTCAGAGTATTTTTAACACTGTGGATTTCTATTTGAAATCTCTGGGCTTGTTTTGTGAATCCTATTTGCACACCTAACAGTGCTAATAATGAGTGGCACTCCATGACACTCTTGAAAGGATCTGAAGGCACCCCAAAGTGCTGCAGTACCGTGGATGAGAATTGCTGGTCTAGGTTCTGTATTACTACCGTGTGAAGATCCTTGCACTGGCTTTGTGAAGTAAGTTGTGATTCTAGGCATTAGCAGCTAGGTGTCCATGACACAAAACTCACTACTATATTTGGGTCTCGTCATGCTCACTCACAGTCTTATCAGAAAGACCAAGCCAGAATGGGACTGTGAAACTTTAAGTCCTGTAGAGCTTATTGCCACTGGCCAAGGATTACCTGTTTCTGTGAATACATACAGGCAACCCTTGCCATTCGCGGGGGTTATGTTTCTGTGATCCCTGTGAATGGTGAAATCCAAGAATAGGGCACTGCGTTCATGAACGCAGTACCCCCAGCGGCTAAGGAGCGGCACGACTCCGGCAGCAATGGCAGAAGCGCAGCAGCAATGGTGGGAGCCCAACAGCGGCGGCGGGAGCCTGGCGGCAGCAAGCACAAAACTCCCAAGGAGCTCTGTTATGTGTTTAAAGTGTATTTAAAATGCAGGTTTGGTATTCGCAAATATTTGAAACTGCAAATGCTGAACCCACGAATACCAAGGGTTTCCTGTAGAGGGATTCAGTCTGTAGTGCTACTGATCCAGCACCTGTCAGCTTCTGAGCGGAGATATTATAACTATTACTGTTTCTGTGGCAGACCTTCATTTTCCTGATGAAAAATGAAATATGACTGCGCCTTTCAGAAGGAATAAACTCTGAGAACTTTTTTTAAACACAGCACATGCAGCTTTGTGGTATCCCTGAAATAATCTCAGGCGTAGCATGCCAGTTAGGAAGGGCATGCTATTTAACTGCTCTGTGTGGCACAACATAACAGCCGTGAGACTCAGAATATTGTTAAAGCTGTGTCATGAGCCTGATATATTTCAGTAGATCAGTCAGTATTGTATGGAAAACTGCTGCCACATTAATTGGAGAAGTAGTTGGCAGGGAAAGGAGTTAACAGTACAGGAGAGAAAGTAGAGAGAGGTTTTTTTGCTCATGTCCTTAAAGCCTCCTTTTTTTCCCCTCTCCTTCCACTTCTCAGACATGCATTGCCATGAATTCTGCTGGCAAGCCTTTTGTACATCTGCCAGTGGGCCTTTATAGAAAAGCAGAAATTTGTCAGGCTAGAACAAGAGTCACTGATTCTTCTGTGTGGCAATTTTAGGCAGGACTTAATGGTATGTATTAACAATATTTGATCTTTGTTTGCCAAGCTGTGGCAGGGCTCTGGGACACTGGAGCCATAAAAGTATTTTTGCACTTTGTGCATTTGTCTCCCATAAGAAGAGATCATTTTATGATTTTCTTCATGTAGACGTGAGGCGTTACCTTGCCAGTTTCTCCCTTACTTATTTCTTTTCATAAACTTCAGCGGTATGGTGAAAACTCTAACAGCTAGTGAGGAGGTAATGAAGACACAGATACACTGGGTTTGATTTCTTCAGCTACCAGTAGTGTACAGTAGACCCATGGTTCCAACCTGCTACTTTGTTTCAGAACCTTATTAACTAGATCCTTTATGCACAGACATCAGAATAAGTCAGCTGGATGCTTCTCACCATTTCCAAACTCAGATGGGGAAGTAATAAGTATTGCAGTGAAGTTAAGGCCTCTCTGTTTATGATAAATCAAGAAACTATTTGAAAAAGTGTATATGAAAATGGTAAGGACTGGAGTAGAGGGAATGGATTCTCAGTAAATCTCAGCGCCATTACAGTCCTTTCCACATAGATGAGGAACTTTGTGAGAGCCATAGAGAGACTGAAGTGGACAACAGCTCTGATACCTGCTGTTCACCTTGAGGCCTGCCTTGTGGTAGATTGCAAAGCATCATAGTATGTGCGGTGCATTTAGTTAGTGTGGTGCTTTCTTGTCATAATCCATAGATAGTACTTTGCATTGTGCCTCTAATAGTTGTTGCTACTCTGATTACTTTTTCTCTGTTTAATATTTCAGCTTCTTGTTACTGGAGGATCATTTGGTCTCCGTGAGTTTGCTCAGATTCGATATGATTATCAAAAACTCCATAGGAAGGTATGTTATATTTTTGTTTGTTCACTTCCCTTTGTATTTATTGAACACCACAGAACTGTGAGACCTAGAGAAATGGTAGGGTTTGGGATGTGCTCACCATGTGTCTGATACATGGTTGGGCTCATAGGCAACACTGTAATGCAGATTATGATGGTGAAACTGTAAACTGTGTATAGCAATAATGTTGGAGAACATAAATACAAGAGTGCTCTAGCTTGAATGGCTGAACAGCAGCTCCTTGGATTGCCTAAGGAGTGGCAGAGAAGGTTTCTAAAAAAAAAAAAAAAAATATGACTCAG